CAATCTCAAGGAAGATATTGTGTTTCCCTGAGCCTCGACTCAGTAACTCTCCTCTTGTGCCTTAGTTTCCCCACCTGGAGAACAAGAGTCAGCCCTATCTCGTGGACGGTCCTCAGGCAAAACAGCCGCAAGTTATAAAGGTCCCAGTCCACCACACCTGGCCTGGAGCAAACTCTTAAGTAAATGTTACTTATGTTTTTTACTGCACCCAGTTTTACAGGGAAAACTCTGCAGCGTGGGTGCTAGGCAACGAAAATGGCAGGTTCTGCCGGTAGGTGGCAAATATTTCCATTAGCTGCAGTCCCTGTGGAAGAACAACCCGGGAGGGGTCAGCCACCATCTCTGGGGGAGTCTTCAGACTCACAGCCATTAGCGGTTTTCCAGTACCTTCCAGAGTTTGGTGGGGAGGGAGTTAACGGAGCAGAACACCGTCTTCCTGCTGGGGCGGTCCACGCTGGTTGGAACCCTGCTCCAGAAACGAGAGCTGTCCTTGGTGCTGAGCTAGGCCGCGTCCCGCCCCCTTCAGCCCAGCCACCACCTGGGATGCCACCCTCCTGCACCTGGAGTCAGTCCAGGAACCCACAGGTTTATTTCCCAGCACACGTGCTTTTTGGTACCCTTTCTGGGAGACGTTGTTCCTCCACCATCAACAGACTGTAGGGTTGGACCTACAGTCTGCTCAGCCATGTATCTTGTAAACGGGAATCACCCACCCACCTGAGCACTCTCCAAGTCTAGCCTGGTCTTTCTGGACCCTGTTCTTGTTCCTACCTGTGATCCCAGCACTTGGGGAGGCAGAGGCAGGCAGATCTCTGTGAGTTCGAGGCCAAAACCAAAAGAACAAAAAAGAAGCATTTGCCCACACTTGTAATCCCAGTCCTGGAGGCAGCAGGGACAGGAATCTCAGGGCTCACTGGCCGGCCCTCCTACAAGCTCCAGACCAGTGAGAGATACCCTCTGTAAAAAAAAAAAAAAAAAAAAAAACAAGGTGCATGATGCCTGAACAGCCATAACCAAGGCTGATCTCTGGCCTCCACGTGAATTCACTCACACACCCAGAATCATACCTTGTAAAACACCTGTTGTGAAAATAAACCTCCAGTTCCAGGGGATCCAACTCTCTCCTCAGACCCCTGTGGGCACATCATATATAGACATACATGTGAACAAAGATACTTGTGTGCATAAAATTTAAATTAAAAATAGAAAATTATACAATAAAGTGGGATTTTGCCAAAGCCTCAATATTTTATTTTCACAACAGGTGTTTTACTTCTACAATAAGAAAGGCAAACTTCAAGGCAATGAAAATATGTTCTAAAGTATGACCAAACTGAAATTATACATGTATAAACAGTACAAGGTATGATTTCAACTGAATCTCAGCTAGTTTCAAAATCGTCTCTCTGTAAAGGATGCCACCCATGTTTGGGTTCATTGCTGATGCTGTCTTCTCTTCGAATTTCTCTTCTGTGTAGATGGACCTTGTATTTTTCTCTATGGAAAGGTGGGTGTGCCGCTATTCTTTCCTTTGCTAGCTTCACACTTCTGTCCCTTATTCTGTCCCTACTTCTAACCTTATCTGAGGCAGGCATAGAGAGGCAACCGAGGACCATTATCTTAATTACTTTTCTACTGCCATGACAAAACACTATGACCAAGGCAACTTATAAAAGAAAACCTTTCATTTGGGGCTCACCATTTCAGAGGGTTAGAGTTCATGATTATCATGGTAAGGAGCATGGCATCAGGCTCAGGTGTCAGCAGCCATGGTACTGAAGCAGTAGCTGAGAGCTCACATCCTTGTCTGTGAGTAGAAGGCAGAGAGAGCTAATTAGGAATGGCATGATTCTTCCCATAAGGCCACACCTCCTTTCCCAAACAGTTCCACCAACTGAAAAACAAATATTCAAACATACAAGCCTATAGTGGCCTTTCTCATTCAAACCACCACAGCCACCAATTTGTCGTCCTCAAAAGTTAAAGCCAAATGGCCCTGCAGGAAATCCTCACTCGTAGATGAAGGTGTTTGAAGGAACAGGTACAGGTATACAGCCCTGGTGACCTTGGGTGGTAAGACTGCTCAAGTCCCTAAAGTAGATGGTTAAAGTGCTGTCAAATGCTGCTGTTTGCTTCCACAAGAGTGTCCTCTAAAAATCTTGTGGTGCTTTACAAAGTGCACACCTGGAAGTTTTTGATGACTTCACAGGTCCTGTGCTGTAAGAGCCATGCCTTTACTGAATCCAGGGAGCAGCCAGGTGATGTGATCCAAAACTGAGACTTGTGGCATGCCATGGGCTGGGCACAGAGGTATTCCTCGCCTTCCATAGGCTTCTCTGCTGGAAACACTGGGAGGTATTTCCTACTGGGAAGCTGTTCTGAACTGAAGGAAAGTCTACCACCACGTGGAATGCAATCAACTTTGGGCCAGCGGGCCTTTCCCCTCCCCCTTGTGTGTGACAGCGCAATGCGCACACACTGGGTGCTAAAAGTGGTGCCAGAGACGTCACACCCATACTCACCTGCGCACACTGTTTCTCGGATGGTTACTCATACACCGAGCTTACCTCTTCCTTGTCGACGGGGGCCAACTTGGTCCTTTTTGCCTTTGATCCTTGTTTGTGTGGCATCAAGGATGGTGCAGAGCAAGAATCTGTACTCAGTCACCCTACTTTGACATTTAATAATAGGGACAACGTGCCTCGCCTACTGCTCTTTCTTTCTTCCCTTGAACCAAGTTTATAAAAGCTTTGCAAGATCTGGAAATAATTGGGTTTTTTTTTTTTCATTAAGCAAAAGTTGCTGCTGTAATTCCCAAACTGAAGACAAACCAAGTGGCAATCTTCCTTCCAGAAGTGGAACCGCCAAGGGACAGTCATCCCATTGGTCTGTAGCTGAGTCATCTTCCTCATCGTTGTCTCCAGCCGCTTATCTCGCCAAATGTCTGTTACTTTAAATGAATTCAGACAATCGGAGTTGAAGGTGTCCTTAAAAAGGACTTTCTCTGTCTCTGTTCCAACCAAGTAATCTTATCAGGAGGGGATGCGTTTTCCCCCAATTTAGCAGCAACCCGGATGCTCGTTTGGACAGACAATGCAAGCATCATTGGATCCAGGAGTCACAATGAAAACCATGCTTCCTGCCCCTGAATCTGGTAGTGGTAACTGGTAGTGTGAGAGGGTCTTTAGATGGAAGGGGGCACACTCTTGCAGGAGCCCCACTGGGGAGTGAAACGAGCTGTTTCTTCAGAGCCTGGGCCAGCAGGCTATGCTTAGCCGGTTGTCTGTCATCTCAGCTTCAGGGACTTGCTCTCAACTCACCACACTGCTTGCTGTCCTCCAGAAAGATAATGTACCTGTCACATAATCTGGCTCTGAAGGTTTGGGGTACAGCCTTACTTGGGCGAATCATGTCCCATCAAACCATTCTGAGGTTATGAGCCTCTCTGCCACCCAGTGGAGGAGAGTGGCAGGCTGGCGGCAATGACAGTTTGTGAGGAGATGCAGAAGGTGATTTGTTCATGCTGCCATCAGAGTGAGGGGCTGTTAGGGCTCTGTGGCCATCCTGTAGCTCATGGCCCAAGCTGAGGCTGAAAGGCTTTTGAGAGGCATTGGATCTGTGAAGAGACAGCAGGTCTATTTGAACACTGTCATTCTTCTGTCTGTCCGATGCACGGAAGCTTAGTTTGGGTTCTGAGGTCTGATGCATAGGCTGCAGCCTGTGGGTTTTAAGTGGCAGCTTTCCTTGTCTGTACTGAAGAACAGGGAAACCTGAGAGGGAAAATGGTCAGACGCCAGCATCTTCACCTGCAGCTCAGCTCTGGAATCTCCAGCACCCTCCTCGAACACCCGGGACAAAGACACCTCTCTATTGTAACTCAAGAGCTGTCCTGTGTCTGTCCCAAGACACACTGTGTTCTGGGGCCCATCTTTCTAACCCAGCAGATTCCCCTGGATGCTTATAGACCTCCTTCAAGCATCCACCAGAACATTCTGGAGGCCCCCAGGGTGCAGGCAGGGTAGCACCCTGGGTAGACCCAGCCCAGAAACTGTGATGTATGCAGAGGGGGAGGTCTTCTAAATTGGGGGTCTGGACTTTTTAATTCCTGACTAGAAAGCTGCATGTTTAAACCTCTCTCCCTGCTGCTTTCCCCTCTTCTCTTTCACACACAGAAAAAGGAAAATAAAAAGTTAACAAAATGTTAACTGGCTAAATACGAGGTGGTTTGTAGTGTTCCCTGGCATATGTTATTACTACTTTTTACTTATCTTTTTTTTTTTTTTTCGTATTTTGAGACAGCTATATTGATCATGATCCTTTTCCTTCAGCCATCTAAAGGCTGGCATTCCAGGCATGAGCCACCACCACTAGCCTAACATGAATTGCCTTTTAAAATCATAATAAGAGCTGGGTGGTGGTGGCACACACCTTTAATCCCAGCACTCGGGAGGCAGAGGCAGGCTATCTCTGTGAGTTCAAGGCCAGCCTGGTCTACAGAGCTAGCTCCAGAACAGCCAAGGCTACACAGAAACCTTGTCTCCAAGAAAACAAACAAACAAAAACATTAGAATAGGAATAAGGGTGTTTTGTAACCATATTGGAGTAGGAGAGCCTGGCACAGGGTTGGAGGGAGTTAGTGGGGTGAGATCCACTAAGCTTTGTGTGTGGAATGCTCTCCAGAGTATCTGCCATAAAGCTTGATGCATATGTTTGGGGGTTGTTGTTACTTTTGTTCGGTTTGGTTTGGGTTTGGGCTAGCTTAGAACTCACTATGTAACCCAAGCTAGCCTTAAAACATGTGAACTTCCTTTCAGCCTCCTAAGTATCAGGATTAAAGCCATGCACAATAGCCAGCTAGGAACACTCACTTTTATGAGTCAAAATGGGCATTACTGCCCTACAAAATGTACTTCCTTGCACGCCTGTTGGACTGGTCCCCTCTAGGAGTGCGCCTTCTCCTGCTGGGCAGTGCTGGTTCATTCTATCTGTTCTTCTTGCAGTTGCCTATGATGGGAGGAGTGTTCATGGACTCGCCCAACGAGGACTTCAGTACCGAATACTCCCTGTTTAACTCCCCGGCCAACGTCCACGCAACCTCCAATGGCCACAGCCAGCCAGAGGAGTCTCCTCGCTCCACCAACGATGCTGTTCTGCTCTGGATTGCCATCATAGCAACTCTGGGGAACATAGTGGTGGTAGGAGTCGTGTACGCCTTCACCTTCTGAGGGCTCAGTGATGCTAAAGCCGTGGGAAAGGCCCTCCTGCTCTGGACTCGACTGCCAAGGTTCTCCCTGTGGCTCCATCTTGTCCCAGCCACTGGAGACACCTGTGTTCTAGACCTAAGCTTGAATGGCCTCTGCAGGGGCAGGAAATCTGTAATTTCCTCCAGGCAGCTCTAACTTAGAATAATCCATGTTGTGGGTTGAGCTGATTCAGAACACCTTGAAGATGGTGCTTCCAGCTCCTAAAAGCTTGATGGGTTGGGTCCTTCAAATAGCAGACTGAAAAATTCTTAAAGCTTCAGTCAGTCCCAGGAACATCCCATGGGTTAAAAAAAATGTAGACCTTTTTGTTGAAACTTTCCTAGAAGTAAATTCCCATTCGTTGTGTCGTATTTTTCTTCGGACTTAATGAACCCAGTGTGTGGATGCTGGGACAAGAAGAACTTTCACAAATTAGAATTCCCCACCTTTTAATTTTATGTGTCATTTGTTTGGAATATGATGGTGATGGTGTAGGGTCACAGAATGTTGTGGAATTAACTTAAAAGAGGTACTTTTGTCACCAAGACACTTGGTCCCTTGCAGGACCCAAGTGCATCAGAAAACCGAGGGACTGGAATGAACTTTCTGATTTTTGTAAGAAAGGCAGAGGGTGTCTTCAAGATTTAGATCCTCCAGACATTAACCATTTACCACCCAGATGAAGTGACTGTCTCTTCTCCGAGGATTCATGGGAGGTAAAGATGATTTAGTCGTTTCCCTTCGTCATTGGACAGATGTCATGGAGAAGGTCAAGGTGATGGTGTGGTTAGATAATATAGGAGCCGGAGCATCAGAGCATTTCCTGATCTCGCTGAGTCTGGGCTCCACCCTAGCCAAACTCTCTACTAAGCATGGCCCCACCTCAGCAGCTGAGGCAAGATGTCCATCTTGGGCATTCCCAGGTCGTCTAGTGTCAGTGCTGTAAATTGGCTTAGAATGTGTGCCCTCCCTCATGGGTCTCATTCCCCACGCCTATCACTGAACCCGGAATACCTGCAAATGTTTTGGCCCTGGGTTGCAGGGATGGGGGGAGCTGTTAGTAGGGAGAACTGGTCCAACCTTTGTCGCTAAGAAGGAAGGGCGTAGGGTATCTGCGAAGATGCTTAGAGTCATCAGGAGGGCAGGGTGCCGGGCTGGCAGTTAACGGTTGTGTGCTGGAGGTGGAAGTTGCTGGATATTTGCGCTGACTTCCTGCCTCACCAACAGGACCCTCCCTCCTCATCACTCCTCCCTTCCCCCTGAGTCCTACCCTAGAGCAAGGAGGAGGACATCCTCATGAGAGAACTAGGGGTAGGGATGGAAGTAGGCATGTGCTGTAACTTCTTCCCCGTGCTGTCTCATTTACCACAGGGGAGCTGCAGCTGGTGGTGCTCCCTACCTTGTCTCCATGGAGACAGCAGGTTGGGGAGGGAGCTGTGCCTGCTGTAATGAGAGAGGAAGCGGGAGGAAAGCTAAAGACAGGTCCTGGCCTTGTAAAGTATTGGTGTGTCAGTACTTAGACTCGAACACACATGCATGCACGCGCACACTCACGCAGTCAGTTAACACGTGTTGATGTCTCTCCTGCTCTCCTGGGTTGGAGTGGCAGATGGTCACAAGCACGGGAAGCCCCTTTGTCCTCATGGCATCATGGACAAACTGGTCCCATTCTGTCCTACTGACTCCTACAGTTTCCTGTCTGAACTTGCTCGCCACAGATAACAATGAGGAGTAAATGACAGATTCCAGTCAGAATAGCCAGAGTGAACCGCACTATCTTCCCTGCCTCTGCTCCACTCTGTCTGCGGTCATCAGGTCAGGGGCAAACAGGCCTGAGCTCAGTGCTTGAGTACTGTGAGCAGGCACGGTGCTAGACTTCATGTACAGCCTTCATCTTTCTCTCACCTCACAGCAGCAGGGTTTGTGCACAGAAGGGAAGCCAGAGGCTCAGAGGAATGGAGTAACTTTCCTGAGGCCACACAGCATGGAGGTGAGGATCTGGGATTGGGACCTGGGAAGCTGGGCTCTGCAACTGCCTCTCTCTGGCACTGTACAGGGTCCACTGAGGTACCTTTGAACTGGACCTGAATCCTCAGAAGGTATTTCCCAAGGCGTCACAGCTTGGGATGGCCTGGGCCACCCACAGGTTTTAGACCATCAAAAAGGGGCAGCCTCAACTTGGCCTGGACTCCGGGGGGTGGTGGTTAAGATTGACCTTGAGTCTCCATGTAAGTCTCCAAAGAGGGTCCCTGAGGTAGGGTTTCTTGGGTGCACATAGAAGGGGCCCCGCAAGGTATGTAAGCCCCAAGGAACTGCACATTAGCAGGGTCCCAGTGGCCAGCACTGAGGTCAGAGTGTAGACCTCGCCTGTGTGGCAAGTTGACTCAAGCTGGGGTACAGTCTTTCTGTGAACCTCAAAGCTTTCCAAAGCAGAGGTGTCACCTTCTTAGGGATCCCAGCCAGAACCCGATTGGCTTTACCCTAAGTAAGGTGGGCCCGAGAGCCTCCTTAATTTGACAGGAAAGACCTTGCCTTTTGCGTAGCTGGCCCTTGGAGAAGCACTGCATCTGCTGGAATATTCCATGTGGTCCATGCAGTCCAACTAGTGAGCCTGATGAGTTCCTTCCCTGCCCATCCCAGAGAGAGAGAGAGAGAGAGAGAGCACTGTCTCTTCCTCCTTGCATGAGTTTCTAGCATCCTAGAGAGTGGGAAAAGGGGGTAGGCCCCCCAGCCAGGGAGGCAGCAGGCCAGCTTCTAGTCCTGGCTTGGATGCCTGTCCATTGATCATGATCTGTCTGGGAGCGCATGTGTGCTCTTGGGCTAGTCCTCTCTGGCAGGAGCATGGCTTCCCTTTGGGATCAGTGTGCAGTGAAATGGCTCATCTCTCCTGGTGCCTGTCCTACTTACAAGCTCATATACTTCTCAAGTTGAGGCCAGGGAGGGGTGGCCAGGGACAGAATGGCACATGTGTGCCTGTACCAAGCCCTCTTACCCTCTATGCCCTATGACCACTCAGTGCAGGGTGGGGAAGAGAGGCTGCTGAGCTGGGACTGAGAGCCCAGAGGTGCAGGGCACAGGCCCCGGAGAGAGGAGGGGTTCCTCTGAGAAGCCCAAGGGGGTGAAATTATGAGCTCTGTGGACTCCCTCTGCAACCCTCCTGAGATCAGCGCTTGAGCAGGAAGTGTCATGGTGGCGGGAGGGAACCACACAAACCACATGGCTAAGGGCAATGCGCATTATTTCTGGAGTGACAAAGCCTTGTCATCAGTCGCGATGGGTGGGGGCTACACCTGGGATGTAAGTCTGCATCACTTGTCCTGGCTCTCTGTGCTTGTCATCTGTGTCTTACTGGTGAGAAATAAAACCAGAGGACTTGGAGATTGCTTGGTAGGTCATGCATAAGGACCCGAGTTCAGAGCCCCAGGATCCACGTTAAAGTAGACGGTCTGGACATGTGGTGCCCCCCTGTAATCCCAGCACTGGGGGCGGGGGAAATAGGCAGGTCCATGGGGTTCACTGGGCAGCTACTCTAACCAAAACAGTGAGCTCGGGCTCAGTGAGAGACACAGTTTGGGGGTTGTTGTTGTTGTTGTTTTAAATGATGGATGGATGGATAAGTGATTGAAGAGGACATCTGATGTCAACCTCTGGCTTCTATGTGCATGCGCACAGACAAGACACACGCTTGTATGTGTGTACATAGAGTACACACATAGACCAAGAGGGGGAGGGAGAGGGACCCCAGAGGACTCAGCCCCTGCCCCAGGACAGCCCTGAGCACAGTGGTGTCCTTGTGCCTACACCACAGCACCAAGAAGGTATGGTCTCAGCGTCTGGTTCTTCTCTCAGCCGACTTCTGCCTCAAAAGCTTTCAAACCTGCTTTCCCGTGGGGCTAAATCCCAGCAAATGTGTGTCCAGCATGCAGGGAATGTGTGTGCTTTGGCCACGGGGTACGTCAGAGCCCTGGTTCTACATGGAGCTCTCTGTCTAGCGGAATAGCCCTAGTTGCTGTGCCTGCCTCTTGCACTCTTTCTCCATTTTCCAGACTCGCAGGCTGTATGTGGCTGAGGACAGCTATGTATCTCCCACCCAACACAAAATCAAGGTTTTAAATGACGTGTTTTTTTTCTTTTTGTCTTTTGTAACCCAGTTACCTGGTTTGGGGGTGAAAACTTTGAACATGGTGTCATTGTATTGAAATGTCAAAGAGTTGGGCCTGAGAATCACTGCATTTGCAGTCCATCGTGCTGTTCTGACATCACCAATGGGCCTGTGTGAAGGCTTGCAGCAAGGGCATGGAAGCCCAAACTCTAGTGGGTATGGGAGCATTGCCAGGTAGAACCTATCAGCAGAAGAGCAGGGTCTTGTCCCCAGATCGTCCAGCCACAGAATTCCCATGGTTCTTCATTTCAGGCACCTGGGTTCCCCAAGAGACATTGGCAATGCCTTGTACATTCTTAACAAGATCTACAGAGGAGTGGGGACCTGCTGGCATCCAATGAGTAGAGGCCAGAAGCGATGCTCATCCACAAGACAGACCAGTGGCCGAGTGCTATCCAGACCCCAAATGCCAACAGTACCAAAGATGGGAGATGCCATTAGACATAAGGGTCCAGGGTGATGGGGAGTTTTCAAAAGCTACATCGGTCATGTGTGAATTGGAGCAGTGAAGCACAGTGGTTGCCCCAAGCTGAGGAAACTTCAGGTGTGGGACTGGGCCTTGGAAACCCATGTGACAGTTTCCTTTTGAGAAGAGCCTGTGTGGAGACAACCCTGCAATACAGCTGTAACGCTGAAGCGGAAATTGTCAAGCGACCGTGGTCCCAGGATCTGTGGGCTCTGACCCTCACCAGTGCATGGTTGGAGAGATTCTGACAGGGACAGGAAGGCTGAGGAACAGCTGTGGGACAAACCCAGCCTCCTTCCTAGCTCTCTCTGTGTCCCCCATCCCTGATCCTCAAATCTGCAGGCATACTGACTCTTTCTACTATTGAGATTTTTCCAGATTTCTTAATCATCACCTGCTGCCTACAGATGCCAGTTTTTCATGAGGAGAACATCAGCCTAGCTCCTGTTTTTGGTTTTGTTTTTTTCTAGTCAGCTTGTAACCACGTGTACCTGGCATGAAGGAAGTTTAACTATTGTTCCAGGTCTTTGCTGCACAGGTACCTGTTCTCCATGTGCTGTTGGCTTCTACTTGCCCTGGGAAGGCTCTTTGCTGATGTGGGATTTTGGTGTGCTCTTTTGAAGGCGTGACGGTGACACCTTCCTGTGTTAGCTTTCTTGCTACAGTTGTCATTTTCTATTGCAATAATTAAACAGAAGGAAAGATTAACCCTGTGTCTGGTTCCCATCTGGTTGTCTTTAAAAGCCACAGCTCCAGGGTTCGTGGTAATAGGTCCCTTCCTCCCCACTTCCCTCTGAGCTCCCTTCACCGTCACACCTAAAAGGAAAAGGCTGCATACTGCCAACCCATCAGCTCTCCTTGCTCGTGTACCCACTATCGGGGAGCAAAGTTTATCTCCCTCAACTTCCCACCTTCAGTATCTGCCCCGTCCCTGATGCATGGGCAATAACCAGCAGATATTCAAGGCGGGCATGAATAAATAATGACTGATGCCTGAACGACCAGCTCAGTATGCTGCCAAGGAACGCTAAGTATGCAGCCACGGTGGTGTCCAGTTATTCACAGAAACACCGCCAGGTGGGGTGACATCCCTGTAGTCAGCAGCCATCTGTAGTCTGAGGCAGGAAGATCTCCATGAGTCTGAGGCCAACCTGAGCTACTGAGTGAGACTGTCTCAAAAAAAAAAAAAGTTTGTTTTAAGTAGCAGTTGGGTGGTGGTATCCTGAGCACATTGCCTACATGTCAGCTGTCAGGGGTAGGTACTAAAGGCATCTCCACTGCACAAAAGAGGAAACTGAGGCACAGAGAGGTTACCCCCACCCCAAGGCCTGAAACTGGTGACCAGCACGGGAACTCTGACTATGGGCCATGGCTCAAGGCGGCTTGCAGCTTCGTCTCAGGTTGACTGTCAGGCCCTGGGGAGCGGAGGCTGTCCTGCAAGGTACTAGACCAGATCTTGGCCACCATGGTCCACTTTCTACTGCAGGTAAGTGAGCCTGGTCTCTCTGGGGTGTTGAACACCCACCCAGACGGAGGAAAGCCTGTGGGTGTGCCACTGAGGACTCCAGGAGGACTCAGGGAGGACTGGACCTTGCCCATCTGGAGGGATGAGGGTCCAGCATGGAAGGCTTCCAGGAACAGGGCCGCTGGAGTCTAAAGGTCAAGGCAGCCATGAGGGGAGAGGGACAGGGGGACACAGCTCGCTGGAAGGGACCTGGAACATCAGAGTGAGGAGCCTGAGAGATGAGTGGTCACCATCATTGTGTCCCTGAGAAGGCTGGTGCTCAGTAAAGGCAGGTGGTGGTCTCTGGGGGGGGGGGGGGAAACAGGTGTGTCAAGGCAACAAGAGAACCATGAAGGGACTCCTGCTTTCTGCTCTGTCTCTGAAGCCTGCTCCTGGACCTACCACCTTCTCCACTCTGTAAAAAGCCACCTCACCCCAGGACCAAGTCTACCGGTGCCTCGGGTCTCCCCATTCATCATGTGTCTGGGAAGATGGCCAGAGCCTTCATACTGCAGTGTGGACTCTGTTCTCAGGTCCCAGACCCGAATTTGAAATGTGTTTGTTTGTTTGTTTGTTTGTTTGTTTGTTTGTTTGTTTGTTTGTTTTAGGCCATTTATGAGATCTTTTCCTCCAAAGGCAATATCTGCATCTCACCACTGCTAATTCTGTATTGTAAGCAGCGACAGCTGGTCCAGCCCAGGCCATTGTCCGCTTCCCAGTCCCACCCTGCCTGCCAGCATTTGTCCTGCATGTGGAGATTTACAAACTTGGCGTGTGAACACCAGCATTCACAAGCTGTGTCCTGTCCCCTGGTCCTCTTGGCTTGTGTGGTGCAAGACAGGTTTGTTGGGGTAGAAGTACACACAGGCTTGAGGTCTGCTGAGACGTGTGGAAACAGACACAGCTGCCCCTGTGCAGGATCCTGCCACACTGTGGGTTGCTAGGCAGCTATCTTTCCTGGGGATGGGCTTGTCCTCCCTTTTGGGTACACGCCTGAGGGCAAATGCGCTCTCTCTCTCTCTCTCTCTCTCTCTCTCTCGCTCTCTCTCTCTCTCAGGCCTTCACAATGCGCAGTCTAAGAAAGGCATACTAGTGAGTTCTGCCTACATGATAAACAGACAGGTAGCAGGAATCGGCTAAGAAACTAGTGAAGGGGTAGGATGACCCATTGCACCCCACCCTGACACCTCTTGGGCCAATGGCTTCCTTTATCAGTTTATCAAAGCTGGATGCACCTCTAGAGTTGAAGAAAGGCAAGGAAAAAGGGGACAAGATTTGGGCACCATGATGGCCTCCTCCATGATTCCCACCAGGTGGGTCTGTTTACTTGGCTGCCCACTGCAGTCTCCCAAACCCACCTTCTCTGGGACTTTTCCACTTGCCTTCTAATTTCTCTGTCTCCTGCAGTCCCAAAGCTAACATTTATACAAGCCAGAATGCTGGAACCATTCGTGCAGGTGGCACAAATAGCGTTTATGGCAATCAGCACTAGCATGGATGATGCCCAAGAGTTTGCAAGAACATTCCAGCCCAGCCCTCCAACTTCCGTACCAGAGTCCAGGCATGTGCCTCCACACGGCAGCCAGGAAAGCTGTTCTTTTCCTACTGGGAGAAAACAAATGGCCAGTTGCCAATCACAAGTGAAAGGTACAACACCAAGAAGCCTAGAGTCGAGTAAGAGGAAGCCAGAAAAGACTTTGCACTGGGCTGGCACCCCAGGCCAGACAATCAAGACCCCAGAGTTTGACAAGAAATAAAACAAACCTGTTACCTGCTCAAGAGCGGTCAGTAGCTTGATGAACCAGGCTCTGTTCTAGGAGGTGAGAAAAACGAAGTTCCATCCTTTGGATGGAGAAGGCAGAGGGGCAAATAAAGGATTTGGTTTGAGAATAGGAGAGCAGGGGGTGACGTTGCTCAGTTGGTAAAGTGTTTGCCTTGCCAGTACAAGTATCTGAATTCAATCCTCAGACCCATGTTTAAAAATAAAATAACCATGTCTGGCAGTACACGCTTGTAGTCCCAGAGCTTGAGAGGTGCAGAGAGAGGATTCTGCCTCAGTTTAGCCTACTTGGGGCAAGCTCCAGGTCAGCGTGACCCTGTCTCAAAATAAAAAGTAGATGGTGCTTATTTTAGTGCTACTATTGCTGTGATAAAACACCATGGCCAAGAAAGCAACTTGGGGAGGAAAGGGTTTCTTTGGCTCACACTTCCACATCATAATTCATCATCGAAGGAAATCAGACAGGAATTCAAACAGGGCAGGACCCTGGAGGCAGGACCTGATGCAGAGCCATGGAGGGTGCTGCTTACTGGCTTGTTCTTTGTGGCTTGCTCAACCTGCTTTCTTATAGAACCCAGAACCACCAGCACAGGAATGGCAGCACTCCCCATGGGCTGGGCCCTCCCCATCAACCACTAATCAAGAAAAATGCCCCACAGGCTTGTGTAAAGACCAACCTTATGGAGACATTTTCTTAATTGAAGTTTCCTTCCTCTCAGATGACTTTGGCTTGTGTCGAGTTGACATCACACTATCTAGCACGGTACTTTAGAAACAAAACCCAAATTTATTGTCCAGACTTCACATGCATGCACGCACATACACACACACACACAAAATGGGGTGACACATACGAGCTGGGTGGTGAGGGATTAAAGTGAGCACAGGACTTTAGGACAAGCGCCTATGGCTTTGGGGTCTGTGGTCAGGGTATTTGTGACCAGGGAAAGGTGGAGCACTGGCTCAGGCTAGAGACAGTTTTGAAAAGGGACCTGAGTTGCTCCCACACACTGACATCATGATCCCAGTCTTCCAGACTCCAGAATTGCAAGAAATAAAATGTTGTTTATAAACCATCCATTGCCTGGTGCTCTGTTACAGGAGCTAGAGCAAGGCACTGCAGAAGCACGCAAACATGTCATGGTCTCAACAGTGCTCTGCCCAGGGCCCCTGGGAGGATGCATTTGTCGGGTCCCTTCCAGGAAATGCCCGACACAGTTAACTTACAAAGAGAATAGGGTAGTGCTGGGGAGATAACTCAAGAGGGTAAAGTCACTCGGTGGGAAAACTTGATGCTGAATTCAACCTTGGCACCCCACGTAAGAGTGGAAGGAGAGAACCAGCCCCACAGAGTTGCCCTCTGACCTCTCCACACATGCTACGGTATGCACGCTCCACACAGATATATCATGCGTTTATATAAAATGAACGAAGGGAAAGGCTTTGCTCCCTTAAGGTTCTGGCCGTCCCAGCTCAAGATCAGGAGTCATTCTGCTTTAGCGTGTGGGAGAAGTGACAGCCTGAGGCAGGAGCCTGTGGTTAGAAGCCGGCAGCTTCAGCCCCTGCGGGCGCCCTCTGTGACTATTAGCCAGGCTTCTCTAAAGGAGAGAAACTGAAAGGACAAATGAAGCAGGTGATTGGCCTGTAGGCTGTGGTCCGGTCTTCCAACAGTGGCTGTCTCACTGGAGAGACAGAAAACCCAGTACATTGCTCGGTCCACAGGGCTTGGATGTCTCAGGAGTCCCAACCTGGTGCTGGAGGCCTAGAGCAACGGTCTCAAGCCGAAAAAGGACCATCGCAGAACACAGATATTTACATTATGATTCATAACAGTAGCAAAATCACAGCTATGAAGTGGCAAAGAAAATAATTTTACGGCTAGCGGTCAGGACAACATGAGGAGTTGTATTAAACAGTCCCAGCGTTAGGAAGGTCGAGAGCCACTGCTCTAGAGGACTCCTAGAGATCGCTACTGGCCTTCAGTGTAAACTGGAATCCTGACGAGGCTGGTTCTGATATGGGCAAAGGAATGCTACAGCTGCAGGACAGACGGACATCCAGGAAGAGTGGGAGCGATCAGGTAAAAAGCAGTTTCTTGCTTCTATATCATGTCGTCTGGGATTTATCCTTTCATACAGACTCAGGGTAGGCCTTCCTGCTTCAAATAATACGATCAAAGGATTGCTTTGCTGGAGTGCCCAGCAGCTCAGGCTTACAGGTGATTCCATGTTCAGTGAAGCTGGCAACCAAGATTGGCCGTCAGAGCGACACAAGTCGTGGCAGAAAACATTCAACAACAGTCGCAGCCTGCTTCTCGGTGCTGTTTCCCTGGGATCCTGTTTCCTGCTTTGCAAACCAGCTATGTGGTACTTAGGGTGGAGGTGGCCCTCTCCTTCCAGAAAAGCGGAAGAAGAACCAGGCAA